ACTAACTTAACCTCACACTTTATGTTCTACTTGGCCTTGACTTGACACTAGCAGATAGACGATACGGTGCTTCTGATACTGATATATATATCGATATTTTGCTTGCGATATCATCGGCTTATATCGGAAGAAACATGTGATATAGGAAAAATAACTACCATGCTTGTACCGGAGACAAAAAGTAATACCAAACTAAACTATTAAATGTTTCAACTAACAGGATAAAATTTTTTTTATAAACTCCTACAAGTGCAGTTTTTTTTAGTTTATTAAAGGTTGAATCAGTATTGAAAGGGTAAAGGTGTTGAACTTTTCAAAGACTATACTCCGGGAAATAAAAGTATTATTAATAAAGAAGGCTTGTCAGAATCTGAGTGGAAAGACAGTATAAAAATGATTGCAAATGTGGTGCCAGTGCGTGTTCTCCACAGCAGAAGTCAGGGCAATAACCGCTGCAGGCATGCCTGTGGTGAGATTGAAACCCTTGCACATGCCCTTGGCTTCTATCCGTTTGGTGAACTTCTAAGAATCACTAGGCATCACAAAATAAGAAGTATCATAGCAAATGCCTTCCGAAAAAGGTATAACACATGGGAAGTGCAAGAAGAAGTACACTGTCTTTCTTCTAAAGGAAGCACCAGAAGAGTAAATATTTTATTGATAGAAAGAGATACTAACAAAGGCATAATTCTCGATTCAACAATTCGATTTGAAATAAACATAAATCAACCTAACGAAGTAAATGAAGAAAAGAAAAAAAAATATGATCCTACCTTTGAATATTTCAAGCAAAATTTTAAAATTTGGAAAGTTGAGGTGATTGGATTGTTTATTGGTTCAAGAGGAACATTATCAAAATTTTTTGTGAACTTTTGGAAACAATATGATTTGGACAGATCCTTTTTGAAAATTATTACTCATGAAACATTAAGAGGTTCATTGAGCATAATGAGAAATCATCTATATGGCAAACATCAAAATTAATCAGTCTTATACAATTTTATCTTGTATAATTTTTTCTGTGTCATTGGCAACCTTATTTTTTAAGGCAGATGTATTTATTTTTATAAATAAATTCTTTTCTCTTTTTATAAATTCAATGAGGAATTGTATTCAGTATCGTATTGAAATTGAAACGATGAATGTAGGCCTATCCTTCCGCGCATCCCGGTACTAGCAGTGTTTCCATACGTGGGATTATTAACTTATCCCGAAAACTTTTCAGAGCCAGCTTAGCCTTAGGACACATTCCCTTAGGGTGGTGTAATTCACGTATCGAATTTATTCCTAAACCAGGAAGGGATAGTTACACTGATCCTAAGTCATTTAGACCCATTTCTCTATCTTCTTTCTTCCTTAAGATCCTAGAAAAGTTGGTCTCAAGATATATGATGGATACAGCTCTTAGGACACATCCTTTTCATAATAATCAGCATGCGTATGTCTCAGGAAGATCATGCGAGACTGTGTTGCACCAACTTGTAAGCAAGATTGAGAAAGCTCTAGAGAGCAGTGAAGTGGCCCTGGGTGCCTTTCTCGATATTCAAGGTGCTTTTGATAATACTGGTACTCCAGCAATTCTTAATGCGGTGAGAGGAAGAGGTTTTCACGGTATAATATGTAGATGGATTGAATCCTTGCTTCACAGTAGGAAGGTTAGGCTCTCACTCCATAATGACACGATCGAGGCAAGAACTACTCGAGGATGCCCTCAGGGGGGGGGGGTTCTCTCTCCTCTCCTTTGGAATTTGGTAGCAGACGACCTTATAAGGACACTCAACAAAAGTGGGGTTTTCGCCTTAGGTTATGCTGATGATGTTGCAATCCTTGTGGTTGGAAAGTTCCACGGAACCATAACTGACCTTATGAATAGAGCTTTAAGGGTAGTGGACCGTTGGTACCAGGAAGATGGGCTCTCTATAAATCCCAGGAAAGTTGTAATAGTACCCTTCACAAGAAGGAGGAAACTGGATGGGATCGGCCCACTAAGACTGCAGGGCACTGTAATAGAGCTGCAGAATCAGGTGAAGTATCTTTGTGTAATTTTGGACAGATCACTTCACTGGGGACCACATCTTCAAAAAGTCACTGAGCGTGGCAAATGGTCCCTTATGGCATGCAGGCGGATGGTAAGTGGCACATGGGGGTTACAGCCTAAACTTTTATGCACTGGCTGTATGTATCTGTTGTTCGACCCGCCCTTACATATGGTTCGCTTGTGTGGTGGCCAAAGATGGAATCTACTATAGCTGTCAAAGCTTTAGCAGGAGTTCAGAGGCTTGCTCTTATAATGATAACTGGGGCAGTAAGCAGCTGTCCTGGAGCGGCTCTTGACTGTCTGCTTGATATGCTACCTATCGACATTTACATCAAGGTGGTAGCAAGTAAAACAGCCCAACGCCTTAGATGCGAATACTTATGGATAACCTCAGGAAACAATAAAGGGCACTCCAAAATTGTTCAGGTGGTACATAATGATGAATTGCACTTGCCTTCAGATCACATGTCCAAAAAATACTCCTTTGGAAAGCCTTTCAAAGTACTAATACCAGATAGGAAGGATTGGTCTGGCGGAAAAGGACCCATACCCACAGGTGATTTAGAATGCTATACTGATGGTTCTAAGATCAAAAATGGGGGCACTGGAGCAGGTGTGCATTGGATGAATGGAGGCACTGGCATTTGTCTTCCAATGGGGGTGTACCCAACTGTCTTTCAAGCGGAGGTCACTGCCATTCTAGTTTGTGCTCAAGAACATCTTAACAAAGATATCAGAGACAAAACAATCAATATCTATACTGATAGTCAAGCGACCTTAAAAGCATTAAACTCTTACGAATTCAACTCCAGGCTCGTGTGGGATTGTTTTGCTTCTGTGTCTGAGTTGGGTAGGAGAAATGACCTTACGCTTTGCTGGGTGCCAGGACACTCAGGCATTAAAGGAAATGAAGCTGCAGACAGATTGGCAAATACTGCCTCTGCGACTTCAATGATAGGCCCACAACGCTTCTGTGGCATCTCACGAAACAGTGCATGTTCTGGGATTGCGTCATGGGCCAAGGAAAAGCATCGCAAACGCTGGGTCGATGTTCCCCTTCTTAGGGTCAGCCAGCTTACTCTGTTTAGGCCTTCTAAAAAGGTTGCCTGTGACCTCTTGAGACTAGACAGACGAAGAATTAAATTAATTGTTGAACTGATAACTGGTCATGGAAGATTCAGGAAACAACTACAACGGATGGGCTTATATGATGGTGAACCGATCTGTAGGTACTGTGATAGGTCAGAAGAGACAGCTGATCACTTACTCTTTGATTGTAACGAGCTCTTTGACGCTAGATCGATAACTCTTGGAAATATGGCTAGAGGTAGATACCTTCCTGAGGATGAACTAATTGGGAAGCTACAGGCATTCATTGGGCGCCTTAACTTGTAGGTCAACAAGAAAGCAATTATTGCGCACCCCAAATAATTCGATTTCGGATGAAGTGCTTAAAGGTCTCTTAAAGACCTGCCCCTGTCAGATAAGATAAGATAAGATCCCGAAAACAGGATTTTTAGAGCATGAGCAGGATTTGAAGGGGATGTGGGATAAAACAGGAGTTTTGGCTATGACGTCCGTTTTTATTTACTATGCTTTTATTTTAGTGAAAAACTAACCCCAATCGAAAAAATTACCTTAACAAAATATAATAGCAATGTTAAAACAACTATTTAAACGAAATATGTCCAATTCAACACTCAGAATTTAACATCAAAAATCTTAAGGGATTAAACGGGATTTCTTAACCAAGTGACCGGGATTATATTCTTTTGGTCGTGTAGAAACACTGGGAGCTCGGTGCGTTCAATTAAGCCAGTAATCAGAGGGTGATGATAGAATGTCTGTCGATGTTCGATGTTTTTTATATCGATGGTAGGTTCCAGATGTTTTTGTTACATCGATGTTTTCGTCAAACTTCGATGTTTTTGACCAAGTATTGAGACCTAGATGCAAAATGTAGCATATCTGTAAAAAATGTAGTCTTTCAAGAGAAATTCCAGATTTTTTCCAAAATTCCCTGACTTTTCCAGACCAACAAAATTCCCTGACATTTCCAGGTTTTCCAGGTTTTCCCTGACCGTACCAACCCTGGATTTTGATGAAATTTTGTATGTAGGTACTCATTCATGGTATCTCCAGTCGTTTTTTTTTTCATTTAGATTTTTAATGTAAATTTTCCCATAAAATAACGGAAAAATCGGATTTTCTCAATAATGGCCCGAATGTCTTTGATAAAAATTTAGTATGTTGTAGCCCTTTAAATTCTGAACAAAATGGTAGAACTCCCATTTCTGTAAAAATTAGGGTTCAAAAGTTATTGCAAATTAGGTTATTTTCCCATAAAAAGAGAAAATCGTACTTACAAAAGAAACCGGCTTAGATTGAAATTAGTATGTGGTAATACTTGTAATTCCAAACAACATAGTGCAACCCCCCATTGCTGTAAAAAATATGGTTCAAAAGTTATTGTAACTCATGTTATTTTCCCATAAAAACCCATTTAAAAAACGGAAAAATAGATTTTAAAAAACTGATTCTGATTGAAATTATTCTGTTATGGTCCTTATAATTCTAAACAAAATAGTGCATCCCTTCATTCCTGTTAAAATTACTGTTCAAAAGTTAATGACACTTTTGAGATTTTACCTATTAAATACCATAGTGACTCTCATCGCTTACCCATGATAAAGGTTGTTGACAAGCTAATGGGAGAAAGTATGTGTTAGATTGCTGATACCGTTTATTTCTAAATGTAGTTTCTTAAGAGTGGAATGCAAGTTGCATAAATCGTGCAGGTAGGCCAACCTTAAAAAGTCCACAAATTAAATTTTCCCTTCAGTTGTCAATTGTTTCCTATCTAGTTTATGTGCCCATTGTGAAATACACAAACGTATAACAGTAACACATAATATTCCAATTCCAGGGATGGTTGAAACACATCACTATAACAGTGGACGCCACTTTATTTAAAAATACAAATAAATCATTCTATTAAAATCAGTAATGTACTGTACAATATATATTGTTAACATGGATCGAATTATTTTACTTACACACTATATAAAAATTATTTCACACATTGAGATATTAACAAACTTAAATATAGGTTGTATCTGTACCTGCTAGAACTTAACATTTCAAGGCAGGAAGTAAACTATACATTTATTTCATCTTGCAATCCTAAACTTATCCACCAGAAACTTAGTTAAAAAGGAAGTAAATTAAAACCCTGTAATTCATAAACTATAAGAATGTCGACAATATTTGTATGTACAGCATCAGTCAACCTACAGACTCAACATGGATCGAGGAGTAAACTTCCTTAAACTACAAACCTTTATGGAAAAAATATTGTTTTACCATTTGGAATTTGTGATGACAACTTAATTATCTCCGATGCAGAAGTTTAAGCTTACAAAAAAATACAATTAGGTTTTTTTATGAATGCTTGTAAAAAACTAAAATCTTTCTTTACACAAGCAAACAAACTTTCTATCATGTTTAACACACACAAACGAGGTATGGATTGTTTCTGTAAATTATTTTTGCCTGTATATCAGGAAATGTTTTAATGTAAACTTTAGGTAGGCTACAATACAATACAACGCAATAAAAAAGTAAAAAAAATAACAGGAAAGTATTTTTTCTAAAGCTTACAGCTAATAAGTAAATGCAGGGTCAATTTTTGATCTCTAAAAACATTTAATGTTTAAATTAACAATACCTAAAAGTCAAACTGTTTTATAATGTGTGTATCTAAGCCACTAGCATTTTTTACGTTTCTCACAAGAGTCTAGTCCAAACTGGATGGGTAGCTGAGTGAGTGGTTAAAGTGCTCGCCTAACACTCAAAAGGTCGCCGGTTCGATCCTGAGAAATGTAAGTTGCTTTTTGATGGTTCGTAACTGGACACAGCCATTCCTGATCATTGGGCTTGAAAAAATGATCCTGACTGATGAAACAGCTGACAGTCAGTAACAAAGCTACACATATCATCTCACACCATTCTACCATAGATAAAACATACTTCATTAGTAGATTACCCATCCTCATGGAATAGCTTAAGCCGATTTTATCATTAGTTCTGTCTGGTACACAGTAGTCGTGTTTTGTTTAAAATTTGTTTCTTGTTATTTCAGTCATTTAAAACCCCGTTTAACCAAATAAAACAATAAAATCATAAACAATAACTTGCCCTCTAGTTATATAACCAAGCAGTAAAGTTAATAAAATTAACTCTAAAATAATATAAACAAAATGTTGTCGACACTTTAGCCACCAGTGTGGACATGAACTAGACATGAAAAACGAGCTTCAAAATTTACAATGGGGAAGTCTACTTGTGTTGGTTAGTCTATGATTCTACACTCATTTTAGGTAAAATAAGCACCTAGGTGACGTTCCCATCTCAATCGATAACGATCAAACTTTATTACCATCCAATGTCACTTGTTATATAACATCATTAATCGATACCCCAACGACAAATGGCAACTGGATCAAGAATTTGTGTTTAATACGAGATACTGTACTCTGCAAAAAACCTTCCAAAATCTTCATTGACACCAGTAGTACATCTTAATTAAGGGACTTACCTTGGTATTTAAAGAAGGGTAACAAAGCTGAAAATTACTTACTGCCAAATATATCTACATTTCCTTTGTGGTTTCTTTTGTGTTACTTTGGTGATGTGAGATGCCTACAATTTTTAAGGTAAGTCTGCTTATCCTCTGTTGTCTCCTTAATTTTGTAAACAGTGTAATTCCACTTAAGTATCAGTATATGTAATTGGAAAAAGTAATAAAATATACCTGTTAGGGACGCCAAGTGGCTGATTAGCATTTTGGAAGAGATTAGAAATGATTTTTTTAGCTATTCTGAGAATATTTAGAGCCAATAGGCTAAAAGATACACAAACACGCGTTATGTGTTGTGATCCTGTTTGTCTATCTATTGGTTGGGCTTCAATTTCTCAGGTAAGCTAACTGAATTCTTATTTTTCAAAAAGTTACCAAGATAAAAACAGCAATTATGTATACAACAAAATCTTCAACATTACGTAAAAAATATACAACCTATGCTATAAATTCCACAACCAATATTAAAAAGGTCCAAATTCCAAATGTATGTTCAGTCTCAGTTATTCACTGGTGGTAGTTACCAAGTTCGTACTTAGCTTTGAACTTTTGATCTTTTTTTGTTTCTTATCATGAGACTTACTTTGGTCACTATCTTCAGAGTCAGAACTGCTACTTGAATGAGCTTTCCTTCTTTTTCGCTTTTTAGAGTGTTTTGACTTTCTCTTTATATGTTTATCACTTTTTTTCTTCTTCCTTTTCTGGCTCTTCTCATCTGTGTCTTCAGAAGACGAACTTTCACTCCGACTATCTTCAGAAGAATTCACAGATTTCTTCTTCATTTGTTTGTAAGAATTTGAAATCTTCTTATATTTTTTGGATTTTGATTTCCGTTTTGAATCGGAAGCTGAAGATTCTTCTGATTCACTTTCAGAATCAGAAGTATCTTTTGTTCGTTTCTTCTTCTTAATTTCCTTAACTAATTTGCCACCACGATAGTACCTTTTTGCGACAATTAACTTCTTTTTCTTACCATGTTTGTAGTCACTAGAATCGCTGCTTGATGAGGAGTCACTACTATCACTGCTTTCACTTGAAGATTCACTGCTGCTTGAATGTCGTCTCTTTTTTCTTTTTCTTGTCTCAGACTCTTTGCGTTTTCTTTTCAAACTTTTCTTTTTATCTTTTTCATGAGAACTTTTTGTGGTCGTAATTTTCTTCTCATCTTTTAGACTAGATTTCCCTTCACTGCCTTGACCATTTTCATAATCTTCCAAATTAGCACTTTCAGTGGGTTTTTTATCATCTTTGCTAGATCTTCTACTAGACGAAATATTCTTTTTGCATTCTACTTCAGGAACATTTTTATTTGTAGACAAATTCAAACTCTTTTCACTATCCTCTCTGGGTGTTTGAGTCTCTTGACTGTCGTTAAAGCTATCAGACAGGGTTTCATCTTTAATCGAAACATGATGTGGACTATTGTATTTAGAACTTCTCTCTTCTTTGTTTATAATTTCTCTCTTTTCAGTCTTAACTGGAAGTTTATCTACACTATCACTTTTTACAAAGTCACGTTGGCGGCTACTACTTTTACCATTAATCACTTTGCTTTCTTTAGTATCCAATCTCTTTTCTTCTCGTTTAACTTCAGGCTTCCTTTCTTCAACTCTTCTACTGCTGCTACTGCTACTAACTCTCTTTGAGTCATCTTCCCTTCTACGTGAACTTTCTATTTCTTTTCTCTTATCATGTCGCTTGTCATCCTCCCTGTAGTCCCTTTTATCCTTTTTTCGCCAGTCAGACCGGCTGCGTTCTCTTTCATCTCGTCTCCTATGCCTGTCATCACTGTCTCTGACTCTCTCCTTTTCCCTTTCACGGCCTCTCTCCTCTTCTCTATCCCTTCCTCTGTCTTTACGCCTTTCCCGTTCTTCATGTTCTCTATCTCTCTCTCGTCTACTGGATCTCTCTCCTTTTGATCTGGAATCCTCTCTTTCCTTATTCCTGCTGCTTCTACCATCTTTACTTTGATCCTGTGCGAAAATAATTTCATTTTTATTAGACACTTATTTGAATTGAAATAAAAACATCTGCTAACATTTGTTCATATACCAACTAATCCCTATGTAAACATCTATGTAAAAATTAAAGCACCATGACTAAATATCCAGATCAGTTTTCAACTATGTAAAGCACTAGTTTCAACTGGACGATCTTTTTGATCATTAATACAATCAAAACATGTGGAACAAAACTGGCAAAGCTATACATTTCCAAATCTTCTGCTAAAATTTGCTTAACTAAGCTCTTAAACACCCCACTAAGTTGTGACAGTTGATCAATTGTTCATCAAGATCTTTGAACACAAATACCCAAAGTTTTTCAAAATTTTTATTGATTCAGTTGATGAAAACCAAGAAAACCAATTGTGTGTTTGAGTTTTTCTCACAAGGTTATACATTAGTAAGTGGTTGTCAACTAAAACAGTTCCAGCAGCACTTATACCAATTGATTAAAAAATTAAAAATAGCCATACTACGTTTTACTGCTTTGGTGTAAGAGGAAAACAAGATAGTAACTTGAAGTATTTGTTTTTAAGACATAATTCAGAATTATTAGCACATTAAAAAGAAAAACAGTTGCTTTAATCCAACAATGCAATTTTCTCAGACATCTCTGTTAAATAAAAACTGGATACAGATAATTATTATTTCAAGAATAAAAATTTACCTTGCTATCAAAATACTCAACGCCTCGGCCCTTCCCTCTCCATCTCATCTTGGCGACACTCTGGCTGAAGTCCACGTGGATTCTGCGGTCGTCGATTAAAACATTGTCCATTTTGAAGTAGGCTTCCTCACAAGCTTTCTGCTCTTCAAACTCGACAAAGGCATACTGTAAAGAGTCTCCAGTATTTTTGTCCCTTATAACCTCGCAACTGTAAAACACCAGAGGATTAGAAGTGTTAAAAATATGAAGTAATTAGACTTGGATGTAATATCTCAGAAATATTATAAAATAGGCTGAATTATTTTCAAAACTGCTAGCTGCATGTTAAACTTAAATAAGGACTAGACAACGTTTTGAGACATTTTTTGAAAATCATAGTTTTTTTGTTGAATAAACCAGAATGAGAGAACTTTATTTAATGTTTTGAAAGATTATTTCTTTTGTTTTTTGATGCATTTAAAAAATCTTTTTTGCAGTTAACCAATGAGGTCTTAGTATCTAGAATCAAAACTGTAAGCTAATTCACAGATATTGTAAAACTTTTGATTCTGGTCAAACATTAATTCAACTGACTCTTACAGTAGAATTTACCTTTTTACTTTTCCGAATCGACTGAATATAATCTCAAGATCATCGTCAGTTGTGACCGGGTTTAGTTTGCAGACAAAAAGAACGTTCTCTGGAGGGGCCATCTCTGCGTCAGGCAGGTCGCCCACTATCTCCAGGATGGTCGCTCTGGCCTTTGCCTCTCGCTCTTGCCGCAACTCCTCCACCTGCTCAGCCGAGAGTCCTTGCGTCTCATCCACCTCCTCGTCCGCTCCGATCCTGCCATTCTAAACAACACAGACACCAATAGAAAAGTTTGAAAGTACAGTAATTTTTATCAAGAACTGTATAAGAAATGGTTTACTCTTCAAAGATTCACAATCGTTTGCCTTAATTTTAAAACCATACGAGAGAAATTTAGGTAACTGATATTCTCAAAAGCATCATAATGTAGTTAGCGAAGAATCAAGTTAATCAATTTGGTACATAGGCCTAGTTAAGATTGATTGCCGTGCTACTACTTTCAAAAGTATTTCATTGTCATTATTTAAGAGGTTCCAAGGACAAGTTACAGTTAACGGCCTCAACAAACAGATTTTAAACTTCTTTTCTGGACAAGATATTTTACAAACAACTAAAAGGTGCTAAAATGCTGTTTTGGGAAATCCTATACCAATCCAGAGAGCTGAGAACTACGAAAGGTTTTAAAATTATGTTTGGGGTCAAGATTTACTTCTTGAGATCGTAGAGCAAAGTAATGGTTGAATTCAATGAGGAACTCACAGCAAGTCGTTCCTGGGTCGCCTCGGGTGACATGTCAGGAGCGACCAGGCCAGATGGGTCGTCAAACGGGTCCTCCAAGATAATTGTGTGTGTGATGCTGCCAAACACCACAGAAATTTGTTAAAACTAAACTACCACATTTGATGTAAAGTACTCAACATTAGTTCCCATTTCATAGTTTTAATATATGAAAACTGGGGAAAACAAATATACCTAATATTCAGTTTAGTGGTTTTCATGTAAGTTAAAATTACAAAATAAAATGAATTTCTGAACATTTACAACGGAAAGTTGACGATTAAGCGTGAAAATATCTTCATCAACACCCCCTTCTAAAGAGAATTAATGAATTCTATAATGTAAATTGAGGTTGAACTATGAAAGGGTGGATGATAGGATTTACTGTACATTGGTTACATAAGAAAAACCATTAATGGTTGATTTTAAACAAATTCTCCTTTATTCAGGATGTAAATGGTAATGTAACATTTTACTAACTCATTGCTTATGTAGTCTCAAGTATCAATAGTATGTTTTACTTTTAAACACCTTTCAAAAGTGTTGATAGTTAGAATTCGAAAGGTGGTCAACTACATTTTGAGCTGGCCCCTCAAAGCCCTTCATTTAAGTATTGATTCATTATTCATTTGTCTGCAAGATGTATTACTAATAGCTCAGCCAGATCAGAAAACCTTGGTCTACTCTTCAAAATTAAAAATTCTTCATAAAATAGTTTTTTAAGGTACAGTAGTACTTTGATCAAATAAAAACTCACTGACTTCATGATGGTGAAATTTGAGCTTTAGTAACATAGAACTAACTGATTTGACAAGTAAGTAAATTGAAAAAGAATAAAACTTTAAGAATCAACCGCCTCTTTATGATTCATCGACACATTCCTGTTTACTAATGAATACAAACCCTTTAATAAGCAAAATTCTTATGGAGAATAGTCAAGACTGGAATTTTGCCGCCGAAATGAGATTCCTGCGGCTGCTGCTACAATCGCTTGTGCGGGGGCAGCGCTATCTCTATCTCTCTCTCTAAGCCAATTCTTTCTCTCACTCAGTCAGCTAACTTGGCCACACGGTGGCGATATACTTAGCGGCTGCCGCAGGAAGTGTCCAAGATCAAATATTCTCAGACTGAATTTTTTACAAAGGCATTGCACTTCTTATAAGTTTTGTTAACTTTTTGTATTCATTGTGTTTACTTTATGTACAAATTATATCAAATGGTTTGTTTTGACTTAGTAAGTGGATTTTATCTACTCTATAATGGTATTGTTTTAGCATAGCCTCTTCTAACACTAGGTCACGGCGTTGGTATGTGGCAAAGTCGCAACGGCCGTCCTATTACCATGGTGATAACAAATGAGTAAACATTATCATTGTGCAGACGCTCCATTATGAATAATTGCAACAGCTGTTTCAGTGGGTCGAGGCTGTGGCGTTGCCACTTTTGTCTTGGATTCAGTAAATATATTCAACTTTTGTAGGATTTGCATCCTACAAAATCAGCTGATTGACTATTATTATAACTACGATTTAACCTGTCATTTTGTGTTTATAATTTATGTTCTCTTTTCGGTATTTCTGGAACTTTCTGGACTTTTCTTTTAAATGTTTTTAAAACATTCCTACGATCTTAATAAACCACTGCAAATTACAAAAATATACGGAACTATTTTCTCAAGTCGCAGAGCACATTGCTTGCCGAGGAAAAAATAGCGGAGTGATACGGACCGGGGACTACTTTCTCTAGGGCACCTATTTGTGTTGCCAGCTGAACCTAAAAACGTGTTGTATAGTGTTTGAAAGACTAATTATTTATATGCTTTATAGTGACTATAGGAAAAATATAATGTGTAACAGGAGTGCAAAAGGCCTTTGCTGCACTCGAGATCATCATTAAACGTTGCTCTTTTATGCAGCAAATGCCACTTTGCTCACTAGTTACACAAATAACTATTGTATCATTAATGCAGAGTTAAGCCAAATAATGATAAGGCCTTATATTCATGGGTATCTTAATGATGCAATCATTTTAGATTGACAAAAAAGATATGATCAAGTTAAATTTAGTTTAACTTTATTGACCAAGGTTTGCTGGACTATAAAAAAAATGTTGTGTGGCTATACATAATTTATACATCGCAAGAGAGTGTCGTAACTGATACTTTCAATCTAGCCTTTTTACAACAAATCATTTCTAAGACTTGAGCCTGTTGAAAATGCCTGTCTTTTGTTTTTTGTCATAGTCATACTACAGATGATGTGAATGTTTATTTTTTACCAGCTGTCTGTTTAGTTAGTCCAAATTTATTCCATGACTTGCAAACATTGATGAGAAATATATTTGCTTGATTTATAGTTTAAATTTGTTTTTTTCATCGTAGTATAACTTTTAGTTTTAGTATAACATCCAAACAGTAAACTCGAACACAACAGTAAAGGCTGCGGGAAAGGAAGCTATAAAAGCTCTTAGCAGTGGAGTCGAAGTAGCGAACTATAAAAATGGGAAACTGGAAACGTTCACACTCAACGATGTCTGGTATGTTCCTGACGTTTTTCGGAACTTAGTGTCCATTTTCACTGCCCATGATCGAAACCCTAATAGCAGGTTTGAATCGACTAATACCGAGTGTCGGTTTACTATTAACGAACAAACTGTATTCAAAGGTACTCGGAACTGTGGTGGAACTTTGTATCGTGCCTCATTACGCACAGTTCAACCGTCTGAGGTTTGCGCTAATGCAGCAGAAGACAATCACATTCTGCAGTTATATCATGAGGGCTGGGGTCACATGGATAAACACTGTGTCCGATCGAAGCTTGAATCCGAAATGGGTATCAAAGTGCCAGCCAACTACGAGATCTGCGAACCGTGTCAGTTTGGAAAGGCAAACCGTCTACCATTTGGGACACGAGAACGCCCCTCAGCCCCCGGTGAGTTGTAATCCGGTTACGTTTGCGGCCCGTTTGACCCATCCTTTGAAGGTTGCCGATACTTGATCGGCATAAAAGTCCACTTTTCAAGGTACCGATACTATTTTGTTGCAAGGGAAAAATCTGCTGTCAAGGAAGCGTTGCGTGAAGTGTTGGTTAAAGCTCGCACAATTGGTCATCACGTCAGAGAGTTTCTTAGTGACAACGGCTATTTTGGCTAACTGTTTAGTTAGTCCAAATTTGTTCCATGACTTGTAAAGATTGATGAGAAATACATTTGCTGGTTTTATAGTTTAAATTTGTTTTTTCATCGTAGTGTAACTTAGATTTTCCCTAAACACCTCCACTTGGGACAATAATTCAAGAGAGCCCAAGTCCATCCCCCCTTTTAAATTAGTTGTTATGATAGAGGAACATTGATTTATATAACATTTTCTTTCTTAGGTTGTTAATAACTGATTTGTAAGGAAAGCTTACGTAGGTAAAACAAAGTTGTTTTTATATACAACACATTCTAAACAACATAGACTAAAGAATATATTTTTATTTCAATTCATCTAAAGATAAATATAATCTGTTAACCAATTCAGTTAAGTTAAACATAGAACTCAGTTTTAAAAACAGTCATTGTTTTGCCTATAGTAAGAAAAAACACTACTTCACGCAAATATAAATTCACAGACTTTGAATGGATTTGCATTTTATTAACAGATTATGAGTCATTAAGTTATTGTACTTCATTACTGGCAGAAAAAAATGAAATCCTCTAAACAGACTGAAATTTAACAAAATGCTTTACTTTTTAAACATTACAGTATATATGAAATCCCTTTAAAAAATACCTAGTAGAAAACAAGTGTGTGGTAATGAAGCAATTTAAATTTAGACACCATTTTTATCATACTGAATCTCATCAAATATTACAAAAAAAACTCAATGTACTTAATGATTAAGTTTAAGCTTCTAAAAAAAATAAAGCCACCTATTTGGATTAAACAGTAAATTTTTGTTTTGATAATTTTAATCAAATGGCAATGAATGTCCGTTGAGACAGTAAACTAATAGAACTATCTCTCTAATGGTTACAGTTCAAACAAACTGATAATGAAGCCTTAATAGCTTGACATACAATAAATATCACCAATATGTCTGCAACACAGGGAAACAAAACTTTCTGATACTAAACAGTTATCATTATAAGTTTTGAAACTTTTGGTTCTTTTTATAAGATGGTAAATCAAAGTGGTAAAAGTGCAGGAGGAAAGTTCAAAAATATTATGAGTTAAAGTACTGTAGCTATACCTCAAGACCAATAATATATCTTCTTAATATTTTATTTGCATTCCAACTATTGGTGTCATTTCCTCAATGGCATTAACGTCATCACAGAATAAACCGAATCATTCACAAATTTTTAAAGGAGTGTGCAACAAAATATAATACCGAGCGAGGTGTCTCAGAACAATTCTTTATTTGATTTGTTACAATCATCTTTGCTGGATGAGACTTGAAGCAATGCTGTAGCCCTGGTACTTCGTGAGAAATCCAGGAAACTGCAGCAAATCTTTGGATAGAAGTTCCAAGCTGCTCGGATTGGTGATTAAGGTTGAACGACAAAATTGAAGTTCTGGAAGGTCGCTGACTTATCCAGAACTGTGTGAAAAATTTGAAGGAAACCAAATCTGATGTTAGGCCCGCCAGGAAACGAAGTTCATCTAACCACTTTGAGCGAGCGAGTTCCTCTCGTGGAGTGAGTAGTAAACGATCCTCTTCACGTTAAAGTCAAATCTCCCGATCTGTAATAATTCTCCAAAACAACAATAGCCAAGTTTGTACAGCAATTCCACCTCTCAAGTTACCTGTTGGGCCTAACTTGTTTTATGGCAACCAGACAATTAATCATTAAAACACAGCACGTCAGAAGAAGACTCAGATGGTACAGCTGGCGGATGTCGTGAGGTTGTGTTGACAGCAGCTGACAGTGGCAACAGCAGAGGTTCTTCATGCCATGTTTCTTCATAAGTTTAGGTAGAATAATTACTGGTTGCCATAAAATTGTGAGGCCCACAACCCAAAGACTACAACCATGCCAAATCTACATAGGTTAATTTTGGTACCAAATAAACTTTTAAGCATGTTATTTGATTTTTGACAGCTAAGGACAAAAAGTCATTAATAGAAGCAAAGTGTAGCCAATACATATTTTAAACCTAAAAGCTTAGGTGCAATATTTTTGCTTCTAAATGTTTATAGTGTGTGTAATGTTGTGACTTGATAAGTTACAGTGGTTTTAAAGTAACAGAAATTTCAAAAAATATTTTTTAGAGCCCAAGTATGACCATTAGTACCCAAGCTACAGATTATTTTGATGTGTTACCGAATGTCTTTGTAAGGTCTGTGCTGTGTGTCACAGATGGCTTCGTTCAGTTTCAATACAATCTCTGCCCCTTCAGAGATCTCTCCGAACACGCAATGCTCTCCATCCAGTGATACCAACTCCTCCCCCAGTGTGATGAAAAACTGTGAGCCCAACCTGTAACATGGTTGAATCACAGTGTTACCAACTGTTCCACAAACTCTGCTAGAGATCTCTTCAAACACACAATGTTCACCATACAGTCATACCAACTCCTAGTTTTGGGGAATTTAAAATGGGTTTGAACAAAAGCCTAGAAAAATTACTATTTTTAAATGCTGTATCACTAATAACAACTCATTGAAAATCCATGAACTTCAATCAAACACTTAAGAATGTACTCCAATTAGTTTTAAAATACAGACTATTGTTTTTAATGAGTGATTTCAACTAGGTCCTATTTGAAAAATAGGTACATAATTTTTAATTACGTTAGGTAGGATATATAATGCTGAATTAAATGGTGACAAAGACCGCAACAGAAAAATGTGGTGCCATATTTTTCAAAAAATTAACTTCAACAAGTTATTTCAGTCATTAAGGAAAATTATACAATTATACTTACATATTATTTCCACAGTTGACCATAGACAGAAGACCTGGTTTGTTGTGTTTCAGTTTAGGCATGGTTTCTGCTTCGAAATACCTTGCATTATCACCATACAAAAGCCTGAAAATAATTAACAAAATAGAATACTTAATGGTTTCAAGAAGTGGATTGTAAAATGTGAAATTCATAAGATGTTAGTGCATTGGAAAACATGCAGTAACATTACAATGACTGCCAAAATTATGAAACATAATGAAAACGGTGATAAATTAATTACTGAATAATCTAGAGCTGAAACTTTAGATATGTAATAAAATGTAATGGAGGTCTAAGATTTTTTAAATGCAAACATAGTATATTTACCCATATACAGACTCCCCACCAGACCCAGTGCCAGAAGGGTCCCCAGTCTGGGCTAAAAAGTTTGGCTGTACCGAGTGAAACAGGCAGAAGTTGTAATACTTCATTTTACACAACTTCAGAAAATTCTTGCAAGCTGAAACAAAAACCATTTCAAAAACTTCCTACAGTAAATGTGTAGGACTTATTTAATAACTTCCTACCTATTTTTTTTTTTTTTGTCCTAAGGACGCTAGGCACGAGCCTGGGATTGTTTTTCACATTACTTCAGGCTAGACCTAGGGGTTGCGGCACTATCACTTAGATAAAATCCATTGGTGACTTGGCGGGGATCGAACCCAGGACCTCAGGGACTGAGGTCCCGCGCTCTAACCACTACGCCAGCTCGCTCCCCAATAACTTCCTACCTATTGAAACATAAAAAATAAGGATCCTGTAGACCTAAGCTAACTTCCCATGTATTTTATATGAAATACCGGTAGGCCTAAAATTAAACCAAATAGGCCTACATTAATTAGCCTATTTTTAGTTTTTTTAAATTTTTATAAAAAATTTTCACTTTACTGTTTAATTACACAGTATGTTATTAATTGCTATGAAAATGCATTATTAACTTGACAAAAACGTCTAGCCATTACTTTTTCTTTTTAGAATCAATTCGGTACAAGTGTTGCAAGCTGCTGTTGCATAGGGGCCTAGCTTTTTTTACCCCAATGGGTACATTCAAAGGCGAGTATAGTCTCCCATTACGTTTTGAGCAGAGGGAATTTCGATGAGTATATATTTGTCAACGGTAAGGGTTAAAACTTAAGATAAAAGAATTTTAGTTCAGAAATAGAGATTCATGACTATTAACAACAAGAGAACCTACTGTAGTACCGGATATTACTTAACATAGGTTACCTAACTAATATAACTAGCACACAGTCTTTAAAAACCAGGTATCCATCAACAATGAGGTATCAATTTTTGAATCAATAAACCAGACGTTAAACACTTGAAACTCCGCAGCTATTATTACATACAATACAGATAATCTGTTTTCAACGAATTTAAATTTTAAAAAAATAATCACTGACTCATAACTCTTATGTCAAACTTGTTGCTATCAAACGTGATGCACTGATGGCAAAAAAAAAAAAAAATGGGCCATAAGTTTTTCTGAAAAATTGCCGAAAATATAAAAAGTTCCTCTTCAATTAACCTCGTTAATTTAAAATCAACTGTCACAATATTGTGAAAGTTAACTTTCTCCTTCAAAAATCCACATAACAAAAAAACACAAAGAGTCAAGTTTGGTGATCTTGGAGTGCAGGTTAGGAAGATGTTGGTCTGATACTGCACATTAGAATAATGTAAAGGAACCTACATTCTACATTACAATCACATTGTTTTTCTGTTAGGGTATTTTATTCTGATTAATCACAATCAAATGAGAAATGAGTTATCGGAGGTATTTTTGTATGACTTATATGTGTTTATTATAGGCCTAACTGTGTAGTTTAATTTTGTAGCATGTTAATATGTCTGATATATTAATTTAAAAATAACAAGTTCTCCATGGATGGGAGAACCAATAACTTATACTAACTAAACAATAAGTTACCTTGAGGCCTACTATCAATAAATAAATCCACAGTGAAGTCACCGACAGTAGTTTCAATGACCACCGCCATGATGTGTGATTTTGTATCACTTTCTCCAACACTGGATCTAGGACTGCAGGTTTGGTGTCATTACAAAGATATTCTTAGCCCGTACCGCTTTTTTTGCTTCAGATCTGGCCTTTTACTGACTGTGCTCCTAAAAAAAGTGTTTTATTTGGTACATTTTTAGGATGTAAACCCTTTTTTATAAGACTTTTTTCATTACGGCAACCTGACAAAAACTAAAGAGATATGATAAGGAGTGAGGTTACTGTAATGGAAAAGCCGTATTTAATTGAACAGTGATACCTATCACACCCAATAGGGCTAGTATTCATTTGCGTAAAAATTATTGTAGTTTGGATAAGGAGGTAAATAACTTAACTAGGCCTAACTAATAAGAAAAAATTTTGAGATTTTACATGGATGCACCTACATTAACTATCCAACAAATAGACCTACCTACCAGAAAAGTGATCTTAAAAAACTCTCAAGTTACCAGGGCATAAACCAATTAAATTTAGGGTAGAATTTTGATAATAGTTATGACTTTTTAAAACCAGTTAAATACCTTACTTGATCAAATTTTCAAGATTAGGCCTAAGTCATAAATGAGTCAACTATAAGGTGTCACTCAGAAGCGGGAAGCAACGGGGTGCCTTTCATACATTCACTCACATAAAAAAAAACAAGTCTGGAGAATATTTACCCCGTACGTGCATTCTAGGATTAACTAACTTCATTAGCGATTATAGCATTCTAGGGCAATCTTTCTTGCCAACTTGTTTTAACCATTGTTGTTGTTTATTGTTAACTTAGGCCTATGCTGTTTTTTTATCTGTTTATTGTTAAACAATTTATGCTGTTTAACTTGTTGTTCATTTGTTATTTAATTTTGTTAACTGTTAGTAGCATCGTAACATTGCAAGTAACCAGTAGCAGCCTGATAGGTTAAAGTAGTGGGAGGACCCATCAATTTTATTGGGAGGTTACTGATACCTGGGGAAGGTAAATCAAGTTATGAGTTATTTAAATGTTGGTTTAGGCCACTTTTCTTGATAAAAACTTCTAGTCCTTATGGACCAGCCGCCACTGAATGTAGGCCTAACTTATGTAATGTAGGCTATTGGTATTTTGTCATTGAGACTAAATAAATCATAATCGAAACTAGAGTAGGCAAAGGCCTAAGTAGGCCGAGTCTACGATTGAGAATATCGGTAACTTAATTTTTAAATAGGGCATACAAAGGATATCTCAATTTTGCCAAGTGTGGTAGGGTAAAGCGAATATTTTGAAAGCTATTGTTGTTTTCATGCCGTACAGCCCTTAGCCCACTGAAATTCAAGGTAGGCCTGGGACTAACTTATCATAACTTAATATGACGATAGGATACTTTCTCAAAATAAAAATGAAATCTTTTAGCATAATCCAAGAAAAGCCAATTCAATTATTTATTTGGCCATTGCAATGGCAAGTTGTTTCTCAAATTAGCCTGCCTACTTTGCCATCTGGAAGCAGGATTACGTTGTACGAATAGATATTTCCTTTTAAGATGTAATGCAGATTTTACAATACAACAACTAATTACAAACTACATAACTATTACCTTTGTTAAAAACTCAAGTTCTTGATTTGAGAAATATTTAAGCCTACGCTATACTAAACTTAAGTCAGAGCCACGACACAACACACAACATAACCTAATTCACAGAAAAGGTTTGAGTTTGAGTTTGACTTTGAATAGAATAATAATAAACGCAAACGTCTGTTTCGAGCTTCTTGCTTGGCTTGATTCTTCTGTCTTCTTCTTTTCTCGTTCTGCGTGTCTGCTTCTGCTCTACTAGCTGGCCGAGTTTTGGGATTTACTCAAGGGAGGTACAGAAGAGGATTCGATGACGTCAGCTGTCAGAAAAAAAGTTGTTGACGTAATCGATTGAGCGATCTGTTGAAGGTGGAATATCGTACTCGTACTAAGTTTATCACTATCGTATCGTTTCGACTTTCGTTATTGTATGGCTGTCGGCTGCCGTTTGCTTATGTTTATGTGCTTTCCTCATCACTCTCCTCCTTCACTTCAACTAAGTTACTAAGTTTAAGTTTACTATTTATTTATAGGCCTACATACAGTTTAAAGTTAAAGGTAAGTAATTATTCCTAATTAACTTTTGAGGTATTAATAATTAGGCTTAAGTTATGGCTATTTTTAATTTGTATTATGGACCACATGATAGTCCAAACCCAGAAAACCCTAATCTTAACCTGATTTGCTTAGTTAATATAGGCTAGGCATAGGCTAGTCATTGATTTGTGTTTGTAAAAGTCAGGCCCAGAGTAGGATGACCAGGTTGTTTCAGAATAAAAACAGGACATTCAAACAAATCTCGGCCTCCCCCGTAACTTACAACACACACCTGAGTGTCTAATTAAATTACACAGAGGGTCTCTTATTTGCTAATGCAGTAGAGTCCCACAAACTCGGCGTAATGTGGACTGGAAGGGTGCCGAGTTTGTGAAATGCCGGGTTATCGGGAACTAGGGTTAAAAATAAGAACAATACAATTTTTATTCCTTTTAGCTGCCTTATTTATTTACATTTATTTTACAAGTAGGTATTAAGTCATCAGATATAGTACAACAAATCCTTGTCACGAGTTGCAAATGCTTTGACTTGAGCCCATGTTTAACTCGGACTCAAAAAATCACTAATTTTCTGAGCCAGGTGATGGCCGAGTTATCCAGACTGCCGGGTTATCGAGTGCCGAGTTTGCGGGACTCTACTGTGTTGTTGAGATAGAAATCAAGTACGTTTAGGCCCTTTTATCAACCTGTTTTTAAGCTTTTAGACCAGTAAACTTACCTAATCTAATTTTTCATTAAAACTTATTTACACATCACACGATTGTCATAACTTAGTTGTTTTAAAAATACATTAATGGCATGCAGCTAGGGGCTAGGCAAGGATCAGCGTGAAACTGGCAATAGAACAGCAATAACCCATTCCACTTCTCCTACCGCCCCTCCGACGAATATACGTCACAGTAAAACGTCACAACAATGATGGCGTCACAGTAGGATTCGTCACAAAGCAGCTGACATAACCTCCAAAATATCAAGTGGCGGCAATTTTTTTTTGCGAAACACGGCCAAGATGGCGTTTGGCGGTACACGCACAGCGTTGATTATGAAGGTTAAGTAATATATATGTATAAAACTGTACAATACGTTGAATGAAATTAAACTACTATTTCATTATTTAGAGAATAAAGAACAATATTAAAGACGTTTGAGGTTATTTTAAGTAGTAACCACCTCCAATTTTTTCCAAATGATAAAATTATTAGCTGACTACCATAAAAACCTATTGCTGGCATCTCCCCTTAAGTTTTTCTCTCGTTTTTCTTTTGATATATGTTAAACACATGGTTATGAACAAAAAATGACGTATTCAAGGTTAGCCCACTCTTTACTAGTGTAGCTATTCAGCCTGGAATGCACTTCATATGACCTTGATTGCACGGCGACGCTATTACTAAAATTCATGTTTTATATGTCTATTTACATTATGTAGAGCATATTGCACAACACCAAGCACTTTTTAGCTAATTAAGTAGTTACCGCATCGATTTGAATCCAAATCTAAAATTACTAGGCTATTTGACTACCATAAAAACCTATTGCTGGCAATTCCCCTTAAATTTTTCTTCAGTTTTTCTTTTGATACGCGTTAAACACATGGTTATGAACAAAAAATTACCTCTTCTAGGTTAGCCCACTCTTTAATAGTGTAGCTATGTATCCTGGAATGCACTTCGTGTGACCTCGGTTGCACGCCGATGCTATTACAAAAATGTATGTTCTAAATGTCTATTTACATTATTTATCTGGTATTGAACAATACTGGGCACTTTTAAGCTTATTAATGTAGAAATCACCTTGATATTAATACAAACTAATAAACTACCTAAAATTACTAACTAAATATAGTAAAAAACCTATTGCTGGCATCTCCTCTTAAATTTTTTTCTCGTTTTTCTTTTGATATGTGTTAAACACATTGTTATGAACATAAAATGACGTAGTATAGGTTAGCCCACTTTTTAGTAGTGTAGCTATGCAGCCTGGAATGGACCTCATAATAGAATAATAAATTACCATAAATTTCTATTGCTGGCCTATCCCTTTGGTACGATTTTCTTTATTCTTTCAAAATATGTTTATTACATCATTACGAACTAGAAAACACGTCGCCTAGGTTAGCCCACTCCTTTACAGTTGAGATAGGTAACTTTGAATTAAACTGGTGTGACCTCGGTTCCATAAGAACCTAATTTACTAAAACTCAACTTTTTTCGTTTATACATGTTAGTTACACCTTAATAAACAATACCTAACGCTATTTCGATAAAAAATATTACTATTTATCAATTTAATGCATTATTTAAAATCTGCCTCAATATAACAATAAATTACCATAAATTTCTATTGCTGGCCTATCCCTTTGGCACGATTTTCTTTATTCTTTCAAAATATGTTTATTACATCATTACGAACTAGAAAACACGTCGCTTATGTTAGCCCACTCCTTTATAGTTGAGATAGGCCATTTTGATTGTAGCTGGTGTGACCTCGGTTCCATAAGAACCTAATGTACTGAAAACCAACTTTTTCGTTTATACATGATAGTTACACCTAAATAAACAATCCCTAACACCATTTCAATAAAAAATATTATTATTTATCAATTTAATGCATTATTTAAAATCTGCCTCAATAGAACAATAAATTAACATAAATTTCTATTGCTGGCCTATCCCTTTGGCACGATTTTCTTTATTCTTTCAAAATATGTTTATTACATCATTACGAACTAGAAAACACGTCGCCTAGGTTAGCCCACTCCTTTATAGTTGAGATAGGTAACTTTGAATTAAACTGGTGTGACCTCGGTTCCATAAGAACCTAATTTACTAAAAATCAACTTTTTCGTTTATACATGTTAGTTACACCTTAATAAACAATCCCTAACACCATTTCGATAAAAAATATTATTATTTATCAATTTAATGCATTATTTAAAATCTGCCTCAATAGAACAATAAATTACCATAAATTTCTATTGCTGGCCTATCCCTTTGGCACGATTTTCTTTATTCTTTCAAAATATGTTTATTACATCATTACGAACTAGAAAACACGTCGCCTAGGTTAGCCCACTCCTTTATAGTTGAGATAGGTAACTTTGAATTAAACAACTAGTTTCAAACCACACCAAAGTATCCGCATCGATTTGAATCCAAATAAAAAATTACCTAAAATTACTAACTGACTACCATAAAAACCTATTGCTGGCATTTGTCCTTAAATTTTTCTTTAGTTTTTCTTTTGATACGCGTTAAACACATGGTTATGGACCAAAAATTACCTATTCTAGGTTAGCTCACTCTTTAATAGTGTAGCTATGTATCCTGGAATGGACTTCGTGTGACCTCGGTTGCACGCCGATGCTATTACACAAATGTATGTTCTAAATGTCTATTTACATTATTTAGCTGGTATTGAACAATACTAGGCACTTTTTAGCTTATTAATGTAGAAATCGCCTTGATATTAATATAAACTAATAAATTACCTAAAATTACTAACTGATTACCGTAAAAACCTATTGCTGGCATCTCCTCTTAAATTTTTTTCTCGTTTTTCTTTTGATATGTGTTAAACACATTGTTATGAACAAAAAATGACGTAGCCTAGGTTAGCCCACTCCTTAGTAGTGTTGCTACACAGCCTGGAATGGACCTCATGTGACCTCGGTGTCACGAAGATGCTATTACTCAAATTATTGTTTTATATGTCTATTTACATTATTTAGAGGGTAATGAACAATACTAAGCAGTGTTTAGCTAATTAAAGTTGTAACAACCTTAATTTTAACCTAAATTAAAAAATTACCTAAAATTACTAAATCTGACTACAATAAAAACCTATTGCTGGCATCTCCTCTTAAATTTTTTTCTCGTTTTTCTTTTGATATGGGTTAAACACATTGTTATGAACATAAAATGACGTACCCTAGGTTAGCCCACTCCTTAGTAGTGTTGCTATACAGCCTGGAATGGACCTCATGTGACCTCGGTTGCACGACCATTTGGTTTGCACAAAACCAAAGATTTCAAAAGAGTACAAGCTTTTTTCACCAGGTATTTAGCAAATATAAAGAAAGAAATGGAAAAATTAAGAGTCCATCGTTTGAACGAGACTAGAAACACAGTCATTAAATATGCACCTAAGATAAATCCTGAAGAAACATGTTCTCAGGTAAATACACCAGATGTAAACAGTGTAACGAATGATGTGTGTAACAAAGAGACAAACCTTTTTAATCCTGAACAGCATAGCACTCTTGTAAATATAAAGAGTACAGATCTAAAGGTGATTTATCATAACAGCCTTGTTCCAGAAAACATGGGTTGTTTTGATTCAGGTAGTGAGCAGTTGACTCCAGATATCCAAGAAGTACCTCTTGGTCACAATAGCACTGATACGGTTGTTTGTATTGATTCGGATAGTGAGCAGTCGAATCCAGACATACTAGAAGTGTCTCCAAACTTTCAGTGTAAGCAGTCTACATTAAAAAAAAAGGTGTCATTGTGGATTTTGAAACAAATTGCATTGAAACTGTAACAAACAAAGACAGTAAACGACAGTTTGTATGTAATCAGCATTTGGTAAGTTTCGACATTCCAGAATCAACTTGGTCA